AACAAACTATAGAACAGAAGCCTCACTGAATCACATGTCCCCAAACAAACTATTAAACAGAAGCATCACTGAATCACATTTCCCCAAAGAAACACATCGAACAGAAGCATCACTGAATCACATGTCCCCAAGCAAACAATTGAACAGAGGCCTCACTGAATCAAATGTCCCCAAACAAACTATTGAACAGAAGCCTCACTGAATCACATGTCCCCAAACAAACTATTGAACAGAGGCCTCACTGAATCACATGTCCCCAAGCAAACAATTGGATAGAGGCATCACTGAATCGCACCGCACCCTTAGAATATAAATGGCAGTATACGAAAATGTTCATTTTACAGTATGGCCGATTTATGTTTTTATAAGTAAAGTATTGGTTATATGGAACTAAAAAAATGTAAATAAAGCTTCATGATCGGCTTAAAATATCAGTTTAGTTAACACTGTTTCAGAATCTAACTAATTGCAACTATACTGAGACCTTAGAACTAATATCTCAAGCTGGGTGGCGCATTTACGTCGTAAATGTCTATGGGCTTCGGTAACCACTTAACACCGGGTGGGCTGCAAGCTCGTCCACCCATATAAGCAATAAATAAAAAAAAGAATCCAGTGGCATACAATAAAATTATTGATTATTTATCAATAGAAAAGCATTTAAAAAAAAGTTTTGCATAGTGTCGTTTATAGTTTGATAGTTATATAAAACTTTTTGCTTAATGACCTCTAATTTGTTATTTTACCTACATTGTTATGATAAAAAGAAGAAAAATAAAACATTATATTATAATTACTGAAATATTAAAGAATACTATTTATTTGACACACGCTCACAGTTTTAGGGCAAAACTACCACAAATACTCATAATAGCAAATCTGTCTAAATCTCATAATAGCAAATCTGTCTAAATCTAGACAAAGGTATTATCAAAAACAGAAAGATAGTATTTGTGTTTGAATAAAATTCGTAATTTTATCATTTAAACAACATTATATTAAAATCTTGTTCTTAATCTTGTCAGTAATTATTAACATTTCAATCAATAACAATTTAATCAATAACATTTTCGCACAAAAATCCGTAAAATAGATCAAAATTATTTTTTTATCAAAAAGTTCTTACAAATAATAATTAATCAACCACATTTTTTAAGGGTGGATACTACCCACCTAGTTAAAAACTCTGTCAAAGTAGGAATTGTAAAAGTTGAGTATCAAACCAGCATCTAGAAGACTTTTCACGTCATTCTTCTTTCTTTCGGATAAATCTAACTTTTGTTTATACAGCTGTTGCATTTCTTGAGTCCTCTGGTTCCTTGCACTGACTCTTTTAGATTCCAGGTTAAGTTCTTTGAAATCATTAAAGTAGGATGTATTGTAAAAAAAGTATACCTTATCATCTTCAACTTTCACCACTTTGATGACTTTTATATAAGACTAGCTGACCCGGCAGACTTCGTAATGCTTCAATCGATAAGTAAATAAAAGACGTAAAAGGGATCTGTCCGACGGGGGACATAACAAAGGGAAAACAAAATTGTTATTTTCATTTAATTCCGAGCATTTTCATATTTATTTACCTTTTAAACCTTCTCTGGACTTCCACAAATAATTCAAGACCAAAATCAGCCAAATCGGTCCAGCCGTTCTCGAGTTTTAGCGAGACTAACGAACAGCAATTCATTTATATATATATATATAGAAGATATAAGATAACTTTAGAAGTTCACTTTCAACACTTTTGTTCAGTGTAGAAGCGGGCAGTTGTTTGATGTCAATGAAATCGTTATAAGCCATTTCGTTTACTATGTGCCATGTTTTTTTGCACTTCTGATGGCGGATACGTATGTACTGGGAAGGCACATAAGTGGCTCCAGATTAAAGTATTATTTTTATTTGTTTCTCAATCTTTGAATATCATTGTTGTATTGTAGTCGTCGTGGCCTAAAAGATAAGACGTCCGGTGCGTTCGTGTTGAGCGATGCGCCGATGTTCGATGTTGTTGCGGGTACCAATTTTTCTAATGAAATACATACTCAACAAATGTTTACGATTGACTTCCACGGTGAAGGAATAACATCGTGTAATAAAAATCAAACCCGCAAAATTATAATTTGCGTAATCACTGGTGGTAGGACCTCTTGGGAGTCCGCACGGGTAGGTACCACCACCCCGCCTATTTCCGCCGTGAAGCAGTAATGCGTTTCGATCTGAAGGGTAGGGCAGGCATTGTAACTATACTGAAAACTTAGAACTCATATCTCAAGGTGGATGGCGCATTTACGTTGTAGAAATCTATGGGCTCCAATAACCACTTAACACCAGGTAACTGTGAGCTCGTTCACCATTATAAGCAAAAAAAAATCATCTCCGTCGTCCGATTAAAAACTAGTGTGTTATAGATGCTACTTTTAAGTTAAGTACTGCATAGATGTATATAACGATAATAACTGATTTTTCTGCTGGCCGGAGCAGTTATCGGGATACAAAGCTACATTTAAGTCTTCGTCAGTTAAAGAAGATTTCATTTGCAAGTATTTCAAGACTCAGCTGGCTATTTCATTTGCTCCACGGCTATCTTGCGATTCGTCCCAGAAAAAACATTCAGTATTATCTCCTGCAACCTCGGAGATAGTAAAATTCAAACAATTTATCTTTGACTTGCAGAAGACAGAAAACAAAATCCTAATTAAAGTTATTAAATATATGGTGTTAGTAACTATAAATATTTTTATGAACAGATATGAGTACAAGTTATTTTGATAATATCCTGAAAAGCACCCCAGGCTTTTTTACAATCAAATCATAACTATTATTTATTTTTAATTTTTTAGTTGAATTTTCTATTTTTTCAATTTGTTTTTAATATTGAATTGTCATCGGTCCTTAATAAGTATACCAAATTTCGAGTTAATCCGACGTTTTGAAGGGGGTCAAAATCATGCTCAAATATTCCGTTACATACTAACATACATACGTCTGAAGCTAATAAAAGCGTATTAATAGCATTTTTTGTATGGATAGTGCCATTTATGTTTTAAGGGTGTGGCATGTCCCCAAGCAAACAATTGGACAGAGACATCACTGAATGACATGTCCCCAATCAAACAATTGAACAGAAGCATCACTGAATCGTATGTCCCCAAGCAAACAATTGAACAGAAGCATCACTGAATCCTATGTCCCCAAACAAACAATTGAACAGAAGCATCACTGAATCACATGTCCCCAATCAAACAATTGAACAGAAGCATCACTGAATCGTATGTCCCCAAGCAAACAATTGAACAGAAGCATCACTGAATCCTATGTCCCCAAACAAACAATTGAACAGAAGCATCACTGAATCACATGTCCCCAAACAAACAATTGAACAGAAGCATCACTGAATCCTATGTCCCCAAACAAACTATTGAACAGAAGCATCACTGAATCACATGTCCCCAAGCAAACCATTGAACAGAGGCATCACTGAATCGTATGTCCCAAACAAACTATTGAGCAGAGGCCTCATTGAATCACATGTCCCCAAACAAACAATCGAACAGAGGCCTTTTTTTTTTTTCGTTCGCAAACAAACCATTGGCTTATAGCTATAACTCGTATTTTAATCTTTTCTTCTTACATACACAAATCGCGTTTACGAGTACCGTCACTCACGAGCGCGAACGATTGAATGTTTCTTTTTTTCCCACCTAAGCTTGCTTTGAGAAGCTATAGCTGGAAACAAATTATCGGACGCGGCTGACAGACGCGGCTGATAGGAGTGATCTAGAATATGAATATACACTAAGCTGTGCAAACTATCGGAGGTAAGTCGTGGACGTAACCTTTGACTGACCTTGAGCGTTCGGACTTCCGACAGAAATCTGGCGCGCCGGATGTTTTTGTTAGCCGCAAACGTACGTGGACTACGTGAGAGTTTTCACGTGCGCATCTACGCAAAAATGGATGAACGAATTGTAGAGTGTACGGAACAGGGAATTACTGTGTAATTAAATATCATCATTTCTGTCTGGACAACATAAAGCAGCCGACACTAATTCAAGAAAATCCTCACTTGCACTACTCGATATGTTTCTTTGTTTACAGTTTTTTGTGGAATATACATTGGAACGCGTCCGCAAGCAACGTCCCAAAAGATTGTGCGGCTTTCAGTCGCGTCCATAGAGCTAGTATTTTACCTAGCACTCCAGTTGTAGGTAGTTACTAACTCCATGGCCGCGTCCCTCAGCCGCGTCCGATAATTTGTTTCCAGCTTATGTCAGTGTAACCGGGCGAGAATGTTTCGGACAAAAACGTCGCTATTTATAGGCGCTGTACCCCTCTACATTATTTTTACAATCGTGTTAGGATATATTTTAATCTACTACTACTATACCAATCTATACTTTAAGTACTAATAATGTACATACACAAAATTCTAACTTATTCAAGAATTGTAATTAAGAATAAAATAAATTTTATAGTCATTAAAAGATTTTGTTATTAAATAACCTTTCCGTACTTTATCTTATTAATATACGTAAAATTTAAGTAATAACCTAAGCTTTCTTAAGTTAAACAATTTCAACTTAGATTAGTTTTTATTATAAATTATCATTTCTGTCAAGAATCCCGAAATGTCCACTTTTTTTTTACTTATAGGTTTCATGTATCAATTAATTCTACATTTCGCCGCTCAAAAATTAAAATTCAATTTCTGAACGAAATCTTGCTGACTATGTGTCATCTGTGTCATCTTAAATAACCACTATTTTACTGAGATTATATTTCACCCCATCTCATTTCATTTAATTTCCTGCCAATTTATTACTGTTTCATATTAATCAACTTCATTTCATTTCTCTTCAACATCATTTTCATTAAAAAGAAAAAATTAGGGAGTATGATATAATGCCTTTGTCTTTCCAGTTAGAAAAATAGAACTATTACTACTGTCTGCTGTGATAGAATGTCAAAAGTTGAAGAAACTTTGTTATTGTTTTCATCAAGATAATAAAAAGATACTAAAATTATAATTTGTGTAAGATCATGAATTAAAATTAAAAATTAATAAAAAATGTCATGGAAACGATTGTATCTGAACAGCGATAAATATACATACGAATATTTTCGTCAAGGGAAAGTATGTAGAATCTGTTGGCAGACGAATGCGTCTAAAGAGATCACGAATGTATGCGATAAAGACGTTAAAATATCATTACTCGATAAAATCGTTTACTGTTTGAACATTAAATTATTGCCGTGGCCCGACATCAATGGGATATGTGAGGAGTGTTGCGACGAAATCGAACAGTTTTACGAATTCAAAACCTTCTGCAGCAAAGCAGACAACAAACTTCAGGAAATCTACAAGATCGGCTTCGAAGCGAAACGCCAGGCCGACATCAAAATAGAGACGAACGATTTTTTGAATTTGGAATCGCCGCATTTGGATTCCGATTTCGAAGAGAATCACCGGCCAGCTACAGAGAAAAAAGTAAAGAAAATACGAATGAAACATAAAGCCCCCCATTCATCGTCGTACTGTACGCTGTGCTTGTTGGACATGGAGAGCGTTGAGAAATTGAAGTCGCACAAAGCAGAGGCTCACGGAATAGAATTAGACGGAACCTTCAAGTGTTTCGGCTGCGAGAAAAAATGTAAGACGTGGAAAACGAGACAGAGTCACGAGATATATTTCTGTAAAGGCCTTAAAGATGGATTTAAGTGTTCGATATGCAATCGGTACTTGCCGAAACGTAGGACGTACGAGGCTCACATCAGGGACCACATACACAACAGGAAGATAAAACTCCCGGAGAAATTGTTCAAGTGCAACAAATGCTTGCAGTGCTTCAAAACGAAGCAGAGTCTAACGGAACACAGCGAAGAACACCAGGAGACGAAGAAAAACTTTGTATGTGACGTAAGTATATGAAATCTCATGCATACATTTCTATTATACGCTTTACTGAAACAATGTTATATGAGTTATGTTACAATACTTTTTTTTTGTTATAATGAATTTGGCTCCAACGCCTTTGGCATTGATTTTGCCAATGTCAAAGTATTTATTTATTTATTTATTTATTTAAGGATTACCGACAGGGTTTACAGTAAGACATAAAATAACATTGACATGTATAGAGCAATTGATAACTGCAACTCTAATTATAGGCAATCACAGCATGCATTACATTAATATATTAATAGAGATTTAACAATACTATTAATAATAATAAAAAATTAAAAACAAAAGAAAGACAACAAGGGCAGTAATACCCGAGTACTCAGACCGAGGCTGAGGCTGAGGTTCAACAACAACTTTTTATAATTTTGTTCTTAAATATTGGAAGGGAATCGCCAAATATGTCAAGGTTTTCAACTTTTCTAACAAGATTATTATAAAGGTTAGTTAGACGAGGAGTAGGTGAGTGCTTGCCTAGATTGGTTCTGCTAAAGCGGGTGCTGAAAAGAGCAACGGGGCGACGAGGTAACCTAGATGGCACCTTCAAAGAGAATTTATTGAGGATGAATTGGGAGTCGACAGTACCGCTCATAACTTGATGTAAAAAACATAAGCCTAACATATCGCGGCGATCACTCAATGTTTGCATTTTAAAATATTTAGCCCTATCAACATAAGATTCAACATAATTAGGCGGCCTAAAACGGTACGACATGTGGCGAAGTAACTTTTTTTGAATTCTCTCAATCCTGTTAATATGGGTTTTGTATGTAGGACACCACACAGTGCTGCAGTAATCAAGTTTGCTTCTAACATAACTGTTGTAAAGCATTAGCGTAGTGGAAACCTTCTTAAACTCCTTACCATTCCTAAGTACAAAACCCAGTGATTTGTTCGCGGCATCTATAATTTTGTCAATGTGCTTAGTGAAATTCAGCTTGGTATCAAGCTCCACCCCTAAATCACGAGTCTGAGAAACTTCACTCAAGCATTCCCCTGAAATATGATATTGTGTTGGTATTATATTGCGTTTTAATGTAAATTTTATATGTAGACATTTCGAAATATTCAAATACATTTTATTAATTTGGCACCAATCAACCAATTTATCAATATCTCTCTGTAATAGTTCAGCATCATTCACATCATTTATAACACGCATTATTTTAAGATCGTCAGCAAATAGGTAACAGGTAGAATATTTAAAAAGATTTGTAATTTCGTTGATAAAGATGTTAAAAAATAGTGGACCCAAGATGGAACCCTGAGGTACACCCGAAGAAGCTATGAATGGATTGGAACTGTGACCGTCAATAACAACCTGTGATGGCCTTTGGTTTAGATACGAAGAACACCATCTAAGCAGAGGAACTTCGATACCAAATTGATGTAGTTTTTCTAGTAAAATGCTGTGGTTAACTTTATCAAAGGCCTTAGAAAAATCAGTATATATTGCGTCAACTTGCCCAGAGTTGTCAACGATGACCGCAACATCATCTACGTATTGAAATAAATTCGTATTTGTGGACCGCTTCGTCATGAAGCCATGCTGAAATGGGGACAGCTGGTTTCTTACATGATTGTAAATATGAGTATAAACTAAACTTTCAAAGACTTTAGCAAATGTACAAAGGATGGAGATGGGCCGATAATTAGTTATTAGATCTTTTTTCCCATTCTTATGTATGGGAACTATTAGGGCTTCCTTCCACTTTTCAGGGAAAATCCCTGATAATAATGAATGATTGAATATTAAAAACAAGGGTGTGGAGAGTTGTTCAGCACATTTAACGATAAATTGTGGTGGGATATTGTCTGGCCCCACTCCCTTGGTTAGATCCAGATTTTCCAACTTCCGTCTGACACTGTTCTCTGATAGCCTGTGATAGCTTCGCTAGAAGTAATAGTGTTCTGTGGGTGATAGTGTGATGTTTGTTTCCTTCGCGTAATGTGTGATGTTGCATTACATCGTAGAGTAATATTACCGGAGTAATATCACTCGCATTACTTACACATGTCTAGATACGATTTATATCGCCCACTCCTACAGTGGACATATGTTGTCTATTTCAACCCTTTGATATCTGTCAGTTAAATATGATTTTAATAATTAATATTAATAGGCAGTTAATAAACAATTAATATTAATAGGCCGGAAAATGTCATTTGGAGTTACAAATGTTACAATTCTTATTATAACTTTGGTGTGTTACTCTGTGATTATTTATTATGCATTATGTGTAGATTAATTATAATTGCATTTGAGTGATAACTGTGTGGCAGGAGAAGTCCTGGTCGCCATGTACACACTTGAGGCACTGTGGAGAGTGAGATAAGGACTGCCGATGTGACCTGGAGTGATGTCAAGGAGTAAGTGCAGGACAAGGTCTAGTGGAGACAACTTGTGAGGGCCCTATGTACCAGCAGGGTACCCTAGGACAACAACAACAACAAAAACATGTATAGAAAGGGCTTTTGTTTCCTGAAAATAATATATTAGTATGTGGTACTGTGAAAGCAAATTATTTTATTGTCCGTACAATAGGAATAGCTTTAATAAATATAGAAACAAGCCTAGAGTTCTCTCTGTGGTATTTTGTTAGCTAAATACACCTCAATTTTTTTCCTTAGGCTTGTGGAAGGGTATTTTCTAGACAAGACTATCTGCACAAACACAAGCTGACCCACACAGGAGTCAGGAGATACGGCTGTCCGCACTGCGATTTCAAAGCAACGCAGAGATCTTCACTTACAGTTCACATCAGGTGAGTTTATAATAAAAAAAATCACCAATAATGGTAGGAATAATTATTAAAAACCTGTCATTAGAACATAAAAATAAATGATACCAGATTGAAAGGTGGGTCAGCGGATGCACAGTAGAACAGATGTCTATGGGCTCTGGTTAACACTTAACAGCAAGTGGGCCGTGACCTTTTTCATCAATCTAATCAATAAAACCTCGTGGTATTAGACAAGTTTTAGTTTTTACTGGTGGTAGGATCTCTTGTGAGCTCGCACAGGTAGGTACCACCGCCTTGCTTATTTCCGCCGTGAAGCAGTAATGCGTTTCGGTTTGAAGGGTGGGACAGCCGTTGTAACTATACTTGAGACCTAAGAACTTATATCTCAAGGTGGGTGGCGCATTTACGTTGTAGATGTCTATGGGCTCCAGTAACCATTTAACACCAGGTGGGTAGTGAGCTCATCCACCCATCTAAGCAATAAAAAAAAGTTGCTGCTGCCTATCATCCTTATTCTTAGCATCCTCTGATTGATATTCCAGGAAGCACACGGGTGAGAAGCCGTACAGTTGTGACGTGTGCCCACAGCGGTGTATATCCAGTTCGAACCTGCGGGCTCATAGACGGAGACACCTCGGTCTAAAGAAGTTTGAGGTAATCAACGTGGTACACTAAATTCTTTCAAAGCAGTCTCTCTCTTTCTATCTCTCTCTCTGTCTCTATCTCTCTTTTTCCCTCAGAGCGCCACGGAAAATGGTGTTCCTTCCATAACTTCACCTTTTACTTACAGTAGCCACAGTACGATGACCCATTTTGAACTTTTGCATTGAAAATGCACGTATCATCTTATTGCTTTTGCGTATTTGACTTCATGACATTTTCTTACGAATTAATCTACAGTTATTACATATACTTCTTGTTTTGTTTTGTTTATTTTGAGTTATACTTGTCGTATACCGTTACCTACCCGCTATGGCAGAAATAGATCCCAGTAAGTGTTGGTATGATTATTGTTAATCTAAGTTGAACTATTTAATATTTAAATTGCTTAACTTGAGAAACGCTTAGGTTATAAGTTAAATTTTATGTATATTAACTTGATAATGTAAGGAAATTTGTAATACAAATTGAAAGAGATAATTGAAAAAAAAAGTAAAAAGGTTTTATATAAAAACTAGCGGACCCGACAGACGTTGTTCTGCAAAAATTCATTCAAGTCGATCCAGCCGTTTAGTTGTAGTATAGAGAAATAACCTAGATACCGACTGCAGCGCCATCTGCCGGGCTGATTTGTGAATCTAAACCATCCAGGGTGCCACCCAAACGCATACAAAAAAATCATTTAAATCGGTCCAGCCGGTCAGTGACAAAAACACGCACAGAAGAAATATATAAAGATTGCATAAAAAACATGAGTGGCACTCGAGAACTGCCGCGGTAAAGCTATTGCATAGCGTTTTTTAACAACTTATGCAGTTATAATTAGACAATAATAATTTAATATTAAAACAATAATAACATGAGACCACGCTATATTTAGAAACATTAACAAAAGCAAAACATTAACTGTCCCCTTCACACTCCTAAACTAGACCGCGCGGGAGAGAGACGGGCAGACTTTTCATGACGCGCATGCAGTGCGACGTCACTCCACGCGCTTATTCACAAACACTACACAAGCGCAACGTGTGAATGTGTTGAACGCGAGCTACATGGTAGGCGGAGTGGGGGCTGTTAGGTTTTATTTTCGTTAGGGAATTTCTTGATTTGGTCGTCGCGCTCAAAGCCCGCGATAAAAGCTATGCAATAGTTCGAAATTCAATGCTAGAATGTATTTTCAATTTATTTTCGGTCATTAATCGATTTTTTTGAATAATGACGATTGTGACATTATAATATCGAAATGCATTATCGAACGATATAACAATATAGTGTTTCTGAATAATTTACGGCCACCAATTAGGCTGCGCGCGATGCTATCCCTGTTTTTTGTGATTCACCATTCGGAACACAGAAAACTGTGGAGTATCCATTCTTCTGCATTTGCGTTAGGGTAGAATTTGAAAATTGTATATACATAAACTTTTGTTTAAAAAAAATTTAAAAAAAAAAAAACAGTTCTGCGTCTTTCCGAAACTATCAAAATCGTTTGGTCTTCGTATATATATGATGTATGAAGATTGGTCGTGTTAAATTTCCAGTGTCCGATCTGCAACAAGAAGTTCGGTTACAAGACCAGCTTAGAGGAGCACGTGTCTTCGAACCACGGCCGCACCGAGCAGCACACCTGCGACCACTGCAGCGCCACGTACAGCCGGAAGCGAGGCCTGCAGCGACACCTGGCGGCGAAGCACGCGAAACAGAACGGAGCCGCAATGGAAAGCGAACCGAACCCGCAAGACAATAAAAACGAAAACGCAATGAAAGGTTACGATTTGAAAATGGAAAAGTTCTGTTGGTAGTTTGGTCTTAGTGTTGACATTAGCTTGAGTGACGTATTGGCGGCGAAGCACGCGAAACAGAACGGAACCCGCAATGGAAAGCGAACCGAACCCGCAAGACAATAAAAACGCAATGAAAGGTTACGATTTGAAAATGGAAAAGTTCTGTTAGTAGTTTGGTTTTAGTGTTGACAGTAGCTTGAGTGACGTGTTGGCGGCGAAGCACGCGAAACAGAACGGAACCCGCAATGGAAAGCGAACCGAACCCGCAAGACAATAAAAACGCAATGAAAGGTTACGATTTGAAAATGGAAAAGTTCTGTTGGTAGTTTGGTTTTAGTGTTGACAGTAGCTTGAGTGTGGGTGTAGGTCACCTACGCGGCGCACTGAAGTAATTATGTCCAATATAATTAATTGAAATTATAAGTTTGAAAATTATTATGGTTCTATTGTCAAAGACTTAATAAACTTCTATAATCACAGATTTCGCCAAGACTACACTATAGATAAATTATATTAAAAACAAACAATATTAATATATTCTCAATTTGTACCACAGACTATAACAATAAACAAAAGAGTATGTATGCGTGTGTGTGTCAGATACATGGTAGTGTGTGTAACCTTTTTTTATTTATATAATGCCTTAATTTTAACTTTTTAATTTTTACTTGTGGTAGGACGTCTTGAGTCCGCCCGGGTAGGTACCACCACCCCGCCTATTTCTGCCGTGAAGCAGTAATGCGTTTCGGTTTGAAGGGTGGGGCAGCCGTTACAACTATACTTGAGACCTTAGAACTTATATCTCAAGGTGGTTGGCGCATTTACGTTGTAGATGTCTATGGGCTCCAGTAACCACTTAACACCAGTTGGGCTGTGAGCTCGTCCACCTATCTAAGCAATTAAAAAGAAATAATAATAATAATGCATAATTAAAAAAAATTTAGCATTCAGCACTCCTTCTCTATATTCTCTATAAGTGTGGGAAATTTCATAGGTACACCTCCGTCTGCGCAATTTTCGTAAAAACGGCATACAGAGTTTATGCTTCACGCATTAATACATAGATTTATGTTCCTAACACGCCTGAATATCTAGTAGTCTCTGGGAAAGACGAATCCGAAGATACAGAGAATGAATCTATTTCTAAGATACGTAAAAGACTAAAACTTACATTAATAAAACAAAAGAAGGCAAAAAGTTAGGCAATTCTGACCCTTAGTTACGAGAATACGTCATAATTACTTCAGTGCGCCGCGTAGGGCACCGGTGACCTACACGACAGTCGAAGGGTTAAGGAGAAATTTATCGTGAACATTTTTATTATATCGAGGGTAGGCGGGTTTTGAATACACGTATTGGTACCAGCCTCCTTCCTATTTCATTCCAGACTCTGAATGTAGACTGAAAGAGTCTACTCGTTTTCCTAATATAGAGGCTTGTATGTCACAACCCTTTGAGCGCGAACCGTCGATATATCGACTCTCTATTGATGCGTGTAAAGTGCGGAGCGTCGAAATACCGACTCGATGCCGCAGTTCGATTGTAGGTATTAGTTATCGACCTGTACGGACGTGTCTTAGCGCGGGCGTGTAAGTACAACGTTTTTAATAAATTAATAAACATATATAAAAGTAACTATTTAAAAGCTGTGAATTTAGCATTGTTTTTTTTTTAAGTAAAAGTTTTTTTTTTCAAAAAATCTTTTGGAGATTTCTACAAAATAACGTGATAACGTCTTGTAAATCGATGAGCACCGTCTGCACGCACGAAAAAGTGTCACGTTCTGCTTGAGTCTGAGCGTGCAAGCGAGAGCGCGGAACAAGCGATAGAGGCACGATCCGCCCAAGCGTTGGCTTGCGACACATTTATCTCTCTTCTCGCGTGACGTCAGAGTTAACAGTTCGAATGGTTCTGCTATTGACGTTATCACGTAAAACTATCTTTACTTAGCCGACTTTACAGACAAGCAATTTTTTTTTTAAATTACGAAGTGAATTCGAAGTCTTATTTATATTGTTGAAGAGCTATTGTTCTTTTGAGGCAGGTATAAAGACTGGATCTTGGCACCAGTGCGGGTTCGAAATATGGGCCACTACTTATACTACTAATTCGGGTTGTTGGCTGACATACGCTGATACAGTACTGGGAGAAGGCTGATGTCGTTTCGCCGGATAATCTCTCGACCACCCCAGAGGAAGAGATAGGTTAAAGATTAACTTGATAAAAAAAAATGTATACTCGTAATGACAATTCAAAAGATGTCTCATATAAGCAGTTTGATTTATTAATGAGTATGTAAATAATTGGTGTTTTATTTACGACCTTAATACGACAGGTAAAGCATAAATCTCGTATGTAAAAAGTTAAATGAATTCGTAATTGTATTGGGCGGTTGCTCTTAAAAGCAATTGGGCCGTCCACCAGCGTATTCTAAGCTATATTGTATTTAAATGAAATAAGAATAAATTATTATTAAATTGACATCGTGCAATTAATAAAACTGTCATTTCATTTCTTAGTACACATTTAGAACAATGCAACCTTTTTTTAAATTTTTAAAATGATGAAACCTTTAATTCATATTATGAATTTTGACAACAGCGCCATCTTACATTTAATATTGGAGTTAATCGAAAAAGCGCCATCTAGCGTCGAGTAGGTAAACGAAGTGTATAAAGCGTAATTGGCGGGATTCTTTTTCAATCTGACATTGTAAAGCAATTTTTTAATTTTGAAAATTAGTTTATTTACTTTATGAAGAGTTGTTTTTGTCATATTAGTAATTTATTTGACAGTTAAAAATTGTGTTCATGTAACAACTTCAACGTGTTGTGATATATTTTGTTTTATGCATGAACTGACGTGAATCAAAAAAGCAATAAAAATGTTCTTTCTTACGAACGATGATACGCTTACTTTTTTATTGCTTAGATGGCTGGACGAGCTCACGGCCTACTTAGTGTTAAGTGTTTATCAGAATGCGCAGACATCAACAAGGTAAGGCAGTGTTCACTTTGAGACATGAGTTCTAGTCTCAGGTTTACAGTACAACGGCTGCCTTACCCTTCAAACCGAAACGCATTACTGCTTCACGGCAGAAATAGGCAGGGTGGTGGAACCTACCCGTGCGGACTCACAAGACGGTACCACCAGTAAAAATCCAGTAACCACTTAACATCAGGTGGGCTGTGAGCTCGTCCACACACCTAAGCAATAAATAAAAATAAAAAAGGCGATATGTGCAAGAGGGGAGTGAGCGAATAAATGGTATATGATTAGCGTGACCATTAATTTTTTTTGTTAAAGCGGGACATCTGCGAAATTATATAATATAAAAAGTATTTAGTGCTTTACAAGTATTTTCTTATAGAAGATAGAATAACACAAAAGAATCAAATCACTAAACACAAAATAGTTAGTACTCTGTAATAGTCTGTAGCTCTTTTGTTAAATTAGCACATTTAAACACTTTAAGCTCTGTTGCCATCGATATATTACCACTAAACAACGCATCACATACAAAAACCAAACACAAATATGGCATCGACTAACTGATCTGACTACACCATCAAGTGGAGGAAAACGATGTATAATATAATAATTGTAACCTAAACTATGCCTTTTCCCCAAGCAATAAAGTGCAGTTTAGATTATTTTTACATTCACTTACGACCTTACGCCATGAATGACAGAAAAAGATAGTTTTTTACAATAACTTTTATACCAAATTTAACCTTATCCCCCTAAAAATAAAGCAAAAATTTACACGCATAGCATTTTACTTACGCCCTTTTAAACTTACGATATTAAGACTACTGCTCCGAACAGAGTATTAGGGAGTCGCACTTTATACTTTTTTTGTAAGAATATTTTGAGTAATTTATTTTTTATTATGTTTTTTTAATTCATATTCATTCAATTTTTTCAATTTAATTCCTTATGATTAACAACAAATATTGTATGACTATAGATAACTATACCTGAGTTAGCTATATTGTACCTTGCACATCGGTGGGGAAAATGGATAAGAGCTTTTTAAATCACAACAATATAATCCCCATCAAATTGTTTTATTTATTAAATACATGTCAGATTCGGTAAAATGGTCTGCACAAACCACACTGGAGCAATTAGGTTTGAAATAATTGTCGCTTCTTTTTTCTTTTATTACTCTGTTATTAAATCTGTAAAAATGTAAAAACAAATTCCAGTTTACAGATTTCACTTCGCCGTCCATTGTACAGACGTCTCTTGCATTCGTATCTGATCTAGCGATACACGGGGTATTCGAATCCCAGGCGGGTACCAATTTTTCTAATGAAATACGTACTTAACAAATGTTCGCAATTGACTTCCACGGTGAACGAATAACATCGTGTAATAAAAATCAAACCCGCAAAATAATTTGCATAATTACTGGTTGTAGGACCTCTTGTGAGTCCGCACGAGTAGGTACCACTACCCCACCTATTTCTGCCGTGAAGCAGTAATGCGTTTCGGTTTGAAGGGTGGGCCAGCCGTTGTAACTATACTTGAGACCTTAGAAGTTATATCTCAAGGTGGGTGGCGCAAATGCGCAATTGGCAGTGTAAATACGCTGTAGATGTCTATGGGCTCCAGTATAACCACTTAACTCCAGGTGGGCTGTGAGCTCGTCCACCCATCTAAGCAATAAAAAAAAATAAAAAATTATGTGACTCCACTACACTTGTTCTGAAATAGTCCTATTTCATCCTTGTCTTGCATGTAACCGTTATTATGTGTGCGAAAGAAATAACTGCGAAGCAAAATAATAGGATTTGATTTCTTGAAGTACTAATTTGGTAAGAATAACTGATTTATTTCAAACATTTATCACTATCTGTTAATAAAAATTATAAAACTTACCAAAAATACTAAATTTCATGTTGTTTTCTCTTTATAAGCGTGTTTTTTACATCTTTTTACAGCGCATTTTAGGATCGTTCCACTCGACGGTCGGCGTGACACTGACGGCAAATCNATAGGATTTAATTTCTTGAAGTACTAATTTGGTAAGAATAACTGATTTATTTCAAACATTTATCACTATCTGTTAATAAAAATTATAAAACTTACCAAAAATACTAAATTTCATGTTGTTTTCTCTTTATAAGCGTGTTTTTTACATCTTTTTACAGCGCATTTTAGGATCGTTCCACTCGACGGTCGGCGTGACACTGACGGCAAATCAGTGCTTAATATGAATCTAAGCACTGTTTTGTTTGGTTACTTTTGGCGCCTTTACGCGAGATCTAGTGGTAATATCGATGTCTGTTGCATTGAAAAATAAATTTATCGTTTGGTATGTTTGCAAAAGCGAAACTATGTAGGCTTCACTAGGGACAGCGGGACAGAATGCCCGAAAGCAGGACTGTCCCGCCCAAATGGGGACGTATGGTCACATTATATATTATGATAGAGGAGTATGGAAGGAGAAAACATGTTGCGCCGACCCCAGGTGACTGGGAGAAGGGCAGGAGAATGATGATCGTATTTTTTTACAAGTTTATTTTAAAGTAATTAAATTATATATTTATTATATGTTATTATAAATTTAAAGGAATTAAAAAATAATTTTCACGAAATAAAATGGTTTAAGTACGGAATAAAAGATTTATTTCAAATTTTTATTATTGGAATTAATTTTATTCACTAAATATTGCTTTTCTTTTTCTTTTCTAAATTAGTACATACTATATTAAACATCTAGAATCATCTTTTATGAGTTACCGAAATTTGTTTACGAATTTCAAACAAGATTCGCGCTCTTGCATCGAATGTTCGAGAAAATAAGTGAAATTAATTATATTTTTTTTGGTTACCTTATGTTATTGAAAAATATATTTGACTAATCTGTCAGACATTTAAAGTCCTCTACTAGAAATCTCTAACATTAATCACACGACCAATACTATTAAGTATTAAGGCTTCGTCAAACAGAACGCGTAATTAGCGCGCGTCAGAGCGCTAAACTGACGGCGCGCTTTGACGCTATAAGCTGACATACTATCAAACAGAGCGCCATAAGCGCTATAAGCAGCTTGTAGCGCTGGCGCTCTGTTTGACGGTATGTTACCATAGTAGTACATCTCGAATATATTAAGTGTATAATCTATGGTAGTACAACACATCTTGGCGTCATAGCGCGCCGTCAGTTTAGCGCTCTGACGCGCGCTATTTACGCGTTCTGTTTGACGAAGCCTTTAATGTTTAAATCATAAGCATTATGCAAGTGTAGAGTAAATTAATTAAATTTCACGTTTTATTACGGCAAAGCAATTAAATCTTGTTTAAAATTGTTACATACATAAATTCTTATTCACAATAAGTACAGACACGCTCACAAAATACCTTTATTATGTAATTATATTATTATTATACACAATTATATTATTATACACTTCTATTTATATTGTCAAAACAGGAACTTTAATCTTATTGCTTATTCACTAGTCACTAATTTAATTGTGAAAACTCTAAAAGATGTGTTACGAATAAGTCCAAAAAGGTGTGTGAGTGAGCCGTTACAGCTATTATGACTACATTTAATTTTGTCGTGCCTACGTAAACAAATCTTAAATTAATGAAGATTGAAAGTTACGAGTTCGTAGTGGTAGTTCTATTTTTCCAACTGGAAAGGCAAAGGTATCATTACACCATACAACCTAATCTTTTGTAATATTTTTAATGAAAAATGATAATATAAAGTGAAATGAAATGAAGTTGATTAATTCGGAACATTAATCAATTTGCATGAAATTAAATAAAATGAAATGAAATGATATGGGATGAAATATAATCTCAGTAAAATGGTGGTTATTTACCGAGACTTTACAGTGAACTTTTTGGAGGATCCCGAGAAGTTACGTCCAGCGGCTTTGTTTCATTTTCCCACATTGTGCACTTTCACAGATACTAAACAGTTAATAAATCACCGTTATTACACATTTAAACCTGAAGAAACACTAAATAGACAAAATAAAACAATTCACACAACTTCGCTCCCGCGTTCCCGCCAAAAAGTCGTTAGATTAGGTTAGGTTGATATAAATTAAGGGAGTAAGAAATGACAGTTGTGGCTTCTCAAAGGATTTCTTTGGCATTGCCAGCGACACAAATAGACACAGGGATCGCATTCTTACCGCCTTATATACAAATGTAGCGTGATAATTAAGTACAATGTTATACTTATTTACTATTATTTTATTGTGTCATTGGAATTGACGTACGTTCAAACTAGAAAATCGTTCCAAAAAAGATCGGTGTGAGCGAGAATAGTGGCTATAATTAAAAGGTACTGATGTTTGTGTCTTCTTCTTTCTAGTATAGCAATTAGCTCCTTGTGACGCCATTGTTGCCAGTGTCGACTTTATAAAAATACTCTTCACTTAATAGAAACATACAAATTTTGTTAAGTGTATGAGCGCTTATATTTGTTTGCGTCAGTTGTGAGGGCAGTTTAGACGAGTTTATGAGGCGTCATAAAATGGCGCGAATTACTTCGGATGTCATCAAAATGATAGACTACCTATTTAAAAAAAAAAATGTAATTCTAGCTGAACATTCATAATAGTTAGCTGTAAGGTTTTTAATGTTTTTTTTTGTATGATAATCACCATCTTGCGATGACATTGTTGCTAGAGTCGAGTTAACTTAAATATTCTAAATAAAATTATATTTTCACCGACTTCAAGACGACTTTTGGACTTTTTGGCGGGAACGCGAAACATCATTCTTTTAAGCATTTCTGTAGAAACACCCGACTGATTTTTCATACGGGACATCGTTCTCTACGCTTCATAGATTAAGACAGCGACTCTAACTAATCTATTGATAAATTCCGTTGAAATTTAAATTAATTTTGAATGTTTCAGAGTTTTCACAACTAACGTTATCTCGTCTACCGACTAATAAACATTTCTGTACAAAAAAACGACATCCATCTTGAACGATGACTATTAAAAAATTATTTTATATAAAATATTTCATTACACATTTTCGTAGTAATTTAGATTGTAGTTTACACAATCAAAGTTGTAGGATATTGATAATATGGGAAGTTAGTGGTAAGAAGCGCCTGTATTATAAAGCATGCGTCAAGACAGGACCGGTCCGAGCGGCGGCACAGTGGCATGTGGCGTGATTTCAAAGATGGCGCTAAATGTTATTATATTTAATATGGAGGGTAGAAGTAAGGGACACCATCTTGTATAGGGGACAAGTTGAAAAAGTGTCCGCCTGTAAATAGCGGGTTAATGTTGGAAGACTCACCGCAATAGTGCTAGTGTAGGAAGTGGAAACGATATGAATATAGCAGTTTTAAACAGAGCGAAGTGTGCTGGGTTGAAAAATTTAATATTTTTTTTATTTGTGTAATTAAAAAATATGCAGTATGTATTTAACTATTTATTTTTATTACCATTTACGTTTCTTTCCTTCTTAATTTAGTATTCTACTCTAATAATTTGTGGCGAACTTTTTAAAATCTTTCCACTTGCTACTGTGGCGCCATCTTAATTGGCTCCTTTTAAGTGAACACTTTTGAATAGACTGATGTGGCACTCCTTACTTCTACCCTCCATAATATTTAATTGTACAACTCATTACATTAATATACATAAAATTTAAGTAATAACCTAAGCTTTTCTCAAGTTAAACAATTTCGATATGAAGTAGTTCAACTTATATTAGATTAAGCTATCACTTCTGTCGGGCGTCCCCAGACGCACAGTTTTTGATTAATTAATTGAATTTCTTTACTCATTCGAAGGATAAAAGAAACTTTCGATTACGTTCGAAAGAGACAAAAGACGGAGTTTGATATGAATGATTTTTTTTTAGGTCAATCTATAAATGTAGGTCACCGCTGCCCTACGTAGCGCACTGAAGTAAGTAATTATTTCGATTTCTCTGTACGATCTTCTTACTAAGAGGCCGGTTCCAGAACTCAAGTATAATAAAAAAAAAATTATCGGTTCTAATTGTTACATCGGTAGGTACATAAGCTTTGATAAAAAGGATTCCAACATGTAGATATCCAGCCGAATGTCCTTTGTGAACGAGTCGTTAAATCGACTAATAAAAAAAAAAACTAAACTAAACTACGCTCTTTTGACAGTATAGTTATATGAGAAAAATACTGATAAATAAATATAAATATTTACTCACAATCACGCCACGTTAACTGGTCCCATGATAAGTTCGTAAGAACTTGTGTGACAGGTACCAGATAACGGAAATAAATGTAAGATTTTTATTATACACATACATATATTTAATATACATCCATAACCCTGGAAAAGACATTTATATTTATCATACAAATATCTTCCCTTGGCGGGATTCGAAACCGCGACCCCCTTGTGTAGTGACCATGTCACTTACCACTACACCAGACGGCCGTTAATAAAAAAGTAAAATAGACCTTATTACGACTAGGTAACCTCTAAAGTATGTTTTTATTTTGTCACCTAGGAAAGTATCCCCTATAATCCCATATATGTAAATTACCATTCCTTAATCATGTGTTCCTGTATTCGCGGCACATTTACGAAGCCATATACCGCGCCAATAAACAGCTTTTACTGTATTGCGGCATTCTCGGTACGCTGCTTGCGCGCTCAAGCCGGTCCAGAGAGCATTTGACTGAGAAAAACAAAAAAACGAAACCCCCACTCAACATTTAGGGAATGCACGTTTCACACCGAACCAGTAACTCAATAATTAATTACTGTTAATTTGTTATTTATATATTACTTATCGATTTAATATCGTACAACATAAATAGCATGACTAAACAGCCTGTATATTCTACGCTATCAACTATACGCTAGTGAAGACTCTTCAAGAAGTACTTGGCACGTGTCAGTTTTGACAGCTGTCAAAAGTGCGAAGGCGTCACGCCCGTGCAGCCTAGTATCGCAGGTTGTCCCTCAAGAACGCCTGTTTCATGTAGCCTCGCCTCAAGCACTTGCCCCACCAAGACCTCTGCATGCACACTTTGACCGGCTTCAATCTGAAGCACTTCGTTTGGACGACGTTGAAGAACAGCTTCCCGACCATGTTGGAGACCGGAGTGTCGGCGAGCTTAAGGCAGGCCCGGAATCTGAAACACGCAGGTTTTTGTTTGTGTTAGATACGGGGGCTTTTAAATTTTTTGTGCCGGTAACATCGGTTACAAACAGTTTAAGAATGTGGCCTAAAGGTCTAGATACCAGGCCATAAACTCAAAAAAAAATGTTTAAGAATGCGACTTTTTGGCGGGAACGCGAGGAGTGACGTGTGATTTGTTTTATTTTGTCTATTTAGTGTTTCTTCAGGTTTAAATGTGTAATAACGGTGGTTTATTAACTGTGTGATTAATATCTCAAATTAATCATCTTCATTTCATTTTACTCCATATTATAATTTTTCATAAAAATAAGAATATAAATAAAATAAGACATGACCTAAATGTCTTAGTTACCAGGTCATAAAATCCCTTAAAAAAAGTTTATGAATGCGATAGTAGATGTTAATGTACACCAGTAATGTACAGCTTCAAGTTTTTTTAAATTGCCCTTGTAAGCAGACGAACATACGGCTCACCTGACGGTGATTGGTTCCTGTCGCCCATGGACATCAGCAATGCCAGAGGCAGAGCCAAACTGCTGCTCTTGTCGCGCATACAAAGCAGTCACGAAGTTTAACCTATTGTTGGATGGCTTTTTTTCCTATTCGCTGGTAGCCTAAGGGACTATTCTAGCTACTATCGGACTGGTAGGGAGATTTGCTAACACTGGCCCTGTTAAGAGCAGTGCTTCGCTGAATCTACCGCCGGATCGGAATCGCGACTCACTGAGAAGATCCGGCGAGATACTCCGTGGGCTGTATGTATAGTTATAACTAAGATGGGTGCATGAGCTCACAGCCAGCCTGGTGCTAAATGGTCACCGGAGCCCATAGACATCGACAACGTTAATACCCAACGGCTGCCCCACCTTTCGAACCGGAACGCATTACTGCACTGGAGCATCTCTAGCAACACAACTAGCATCAAAACTGAACTATTACCTACGGTTAATCTCAGGTGTTCTAATGTCATTAAATTGTAAATATGGTGAGAAAAAAATTTCCTTCGTAATTTTTCGGAAAAGTTCGTATTTATCGTGCTCTCTCAAATAGCTTCAGTACAATGACATTAATCATTTTGACATTTGACAATAAACAATAAAGTTCCATAATAATGGATATGAAAATGTCACTCATTTGATACGAACATTCATTGACAGTTCGGGTGTCATCGTATTCCAATATATATCCGAGTTTTTCCGAAAGAAAATATTTTTCTCACTACATCTATACTTCAGACGTTTTGAATACTTTAAGAGTTACGGACGAACCGCGTTAAAGTATTGTTACGCCGGTAAGAGTTACGTCATCTATCGCCGAATATCGAAGGATCTAGTAGCACCTAGAACGCCCGAGAAGTACAACGCCATCTATTGTCAGATAGCGGAAACACAATACTCGAAATGTGTGGTGGTGGCTATAAAAGGCACGCAGTCAGTGAGTAATCGGAACTACTCGAAGCGAAACAGCGAACGGATCACCTGAAGCGAAGCGGAAGAAACGAATTGAGAATTTTAAAGCATTCTGTGAATGTTCTAAGTGATAAATACAGTGATAACTTGTACTTAGGTGGAACTTTTATTTATTCCGAACCCCAGCGCGTTACATTATTATGTACATTAACTTACATTATAAAACTTAATAATACTAAGATAAAGATAATAAATATGTATAGATGCATAAAAGAATAGTTTACGAAAGGAAATTCATGCGGCATAAGGAAAAATAAAATATATAAATAATATTTAAAAAACAATCCCCTGCGTAATGCGACGCGTCGCTAAAACGAACTCACAACTACGTATAGACTGTATATACAGTCGCCACTTCGATAAAGCGGCACGACACGAGAACCTTCTCATCGTGGCCGCCTGTAACTAACTCCTTTCCCGATCCTGCGGACAGAATGGAAAGCCGTCGACGTCGCCCAAAACACGTCATCTCGGATCCTCCCGATCCACTAACGGCGCTTTTAGGTACTTTCTCGCCGGATCTTCTCAGTGGGTCGCGTTTCCGATCCGGTGGTAGATTCTACGAAGCACGACTCTTGCTAGGGTTCGTGTTAGCAACGTCATCAGGTTTGAGCCCCGTGAGCTCACCTACTAGTTAAGGCGACGCTGATATAGCCTCTCAAGGCTATCAGTTTAGGTAAAAAAAAAAAAAAGAGGGTTGAAAGGCTATTTGGTTTAAGCGACATATCATTTATCTTTGTAATTAAAGATCCGTTTTATTTGGTATTAGCATCAACAGTTCGATGTTTTTATTTATTGAACTTCACTTAAGCTTACTTTCGTTCATATAGCTGTTTGTGTAGTGTTTAAAGTGCTGAATACCCCAGCGCGTAACAGTATCAAGCTTCTTATAATGACCGCTTTTAACTAAATGCATGGATATGCATTTATATACTTAATGGATAGACTAATTATTTATATGAGTTTTGGACTCCCTAATAATAATGACAATAAATTTAATAATGTTAATTTTAAACGCCCAGCGAAGAGTACGGCTAGTTTTTTAAAACACAAATTTCGAGAACACAAAACTAAATATGGCGGCTAAGGATGGCCGCCATCGCCTGAAACATGTTTTTATTAGGATCCCTCTGGATGCGCTCTCGGTGCTTTTAGGTTCTTCAAGCACCGGCCACCGTCTTCGTCGATTACGACACAGAGTTCGACGAGCAAACTAGTCCATAGACGCAGCTGAGTTTCACGCCGGATCTCCTTAGTGGGTCGCGATTCCGATCCGGTGCTAGATTCTGCGAAGCACTGATCTTGATAGGGCTAGTGTTAGTAATTCTCTCAGGTTGAGCCCGTGAGCTCACCTACCCGTCCTGGTGTGCTGAAATAACCTTTTAGACTATCAGTGAATAGGTAAGGAAAAAAAATCTAAAAGTAATTTCAATTATGTCTATGTCCCGAGGAAACCGAAGTATGTACTTAAATCTAAACAATTTAAAACATTTTATTAACGTCTCACGATATGAACTCAATACCGTCTTTACCATAAGGGCACACGGGGACCGTGCCCAGGGCCCCCATTCTCAGGGGGCCCCGAAAGACCGACAATTTCTCTTACACGTTTATTCTCAAAACATTTTTGTCGGGCACATTACACTTTTTTTACAAATCAGTAGTCAGAAGGTATTTAGAAGGCATATACTATGCCTATAATAGAAGATTTTGCTCAACAGAAATCCCGAAAGAAACCGTTATCGAAATCGTAACCAAAAAACCAGCAGCATTCTAATATAATTAATGACATATTATATCATACTGTATTTGATTACCTATAAGAAATGGTCATACTCAGTAAAAAAATGTTATTATAATTCGCTTTTTTTACTTTCCAAAAGGGCCTCAAATTCTTGTGTGCCCAAGGGCCCCAGCCTAGTTTAAGACGTCCCTGTATGAAATATCGTAATTTATAAATAGAGTAATAAAATGAAATGTATTTTTAATATCGCACACACGCAATATGTCACAGATGTTATAAACGTTAAAAAACTATATATATTTTTTTTATCGGCCATCGTTGCGATATAGGCAAACGGTTTTAATCCGTGCCGCCGTGATAAAACAGTTATAAAAAGAGTATTGATTGTAAATTTTGTAATAGCATGCCTGGTTATGTATGTGTAATAGTGAATTGTAAATTTGTGAGTGTTCACGAGTGCTCACGTTTACTTAGTCCGCGAGTGATGCGCTTTTAAGACTTACGGAATCACGTCGCAGATTTGATTTTTTTTTGGTCTTTAAAATGTACTTGGCATCGTTAATCTGGCCATGTATTAACAATTGGTTATATATTTTAAACTATTAATAACATGGCCGTAAAGTTGAAATTTGATGAATTCTAAAAAAAACTAAACATTTTTTGGTCAAGACATGACCTTTTGCAAGTGGATCGGGCAAGAACGCGATTTTATTACATTTGTTAAATAAGTGTAATAATGGCGGCTTATTAGGCGTTTAGCATCTGTGAGAGAGGACGGGTGTGGGCAAATAAAACAAAGTCGCCGGATTGGGCTTTTTAGGCTCCTCCGAAAAGCTTACTGAAAGCTCAGTAAATTCTCATCATTCTAGTGAGACTTTCATCATTTCAAGAGAAATTCATCTCATCTCGCTTCATTTAATATCATCCGAATTGATTAAAATCACAAATAAATCAACATCATTTTCATTTCACGGTACACTAATAATTATTTAATTAGAATATTTTAATAAGCTCAATCGTGGTAACAATGGCATCGCAAGAAGCTGATTCTCATACTAACTGAAAAAATGAAGACATTTGAAAGAGAAAAAAACCACATACCAAACTATTAAAAATCCTCTGCTGGTAGTAAATACATTTAAAAAAAAACTAGTCTGCTATTTTGATGGCGTCCGAAGTCATAATTCGCGCCATTTTTATGACGCCTCGTAAACCCGCTAAAACTGCTCGCACAACTGACGTTTGCAATGGTCATATTATAGTTTTATAGTAACTATATAAATAATATGTATTTCTAATACGCTTGTATTAGCTTCATACGTTAGTATGTATGCTTGTAACGGAATCTTTGAGCATGATTTTGTCCCCCTTCAAAACGTCGGATTAGCTCGAAATTTGGTATACTTATTAAGGACCGACGACAAAAAAATGGAAAAAAAAATTGAAAAAATTTAAATTCAACTAAAATATGAAAAAAATAATAGTATAAAAAACACTAACAAAATACGCTTTTATAGAAAATCCAACTAAAAAATAGAAAATAAATTTTAGTAAATTTGAATTAAAAATTGTATAAGAAAAAATGATTTAATTGTAAAAAAAGCTCCGAAACTACTGAAGCGATTTAAAAAATTCTTTCACTGTTTGGAAGCTACACTATTCCCGAGTGACATAGGCTATAATATTTTTTTAAAAAAAATAGGGTCCTTACTAAAACTCCAATAATGTAACCGAAGGTGTAAAAAAAGTATCTAAAATGTTCTTTACATCGCGTGCCCT